GAAAGAGATGAACAGCTGAGAGTAGTAGAACAATTTAGGGATTACTTAGAGAAGCTAGATTTTTTCAAGTTGGCAGGGCAGGATGGGATGCACCCTAAGGAACATAAGACATTGGCTGAGGTAATTTCAAAGCCATTGAGAATTTGTGGAGCTTGGGTGACGCCCAAATGATTAGAAAGAGGTCAATATAGTGCCCATCTTTAAGAAAGGAAAGGAAGAGGATCCAGAGAATGACAGACCAGTCAGCCTGACCTCAATACCTGGAAAGATCACAGAACAGGTCTTAAAGGAATCTATTGTTAAAGCACCTAGAAGAGAACAAGGTGATCAAGAGCATCCAGCATGTCATGCCTGACAAATCTTATTTCATTCTACAATAAGGTGACAGGCTCTGTGGATGGCTGGGGGTGGGAAGGGTTGCAAGCAATACACCTCGACTTTTGCAAGGCTTTTGACACCATCTCCCACAACATTCTTATTAAGAAGCTAAGGAAATACAGACTGAACAAAAGTACTGTAAGGTGGATACCTAACTGGTTGCATCTTCATGCTCAATTTGCGTGTCTACACAAGAAGTTTACTGCACAATTGACTAATTAACTGCACAGTAAGTGTTTCAGCATCTATACATGCACCCCTATTAGGGTGCAAAACTAAATAAACTCCACAACTAATAAACTCCACTCTAGAAAGTCCACTCTGGCTGGCCAGGCTCCAGTCTTGGGCAATGCACACTGTCACCATATGCATGCCTCCCTGCTTTTTTTGGCTACAAGTTTTTTTAATACCAGGATCTCCCAGTGTCAAAACCTCCCTGCACTGCAAATCAGTAGTGTGGGGAATGCCTGCATGTGTAGTATGTGCAGCACTACAGGTGGGTCTGCAGTGTCACATACCACACGTGTACTTGTCTGTATGTGTTCATATTGAGCAGGGGGGCAGGCTAGATGAGCTTTTGAAGTCCCTTCCAGCCCAATGATCCTATGAATTATCAGGACTTTAGTAATGTAAATTGATTGACTAGCTGAAATGAAAAAATATGCTATCAGAACACAACTGAATTTTGCTTTGAAGCCTCAATTTGTAAGGCAAATTAAAAACAAAAAGAGCAATTTATTTTTAAAGCTTTGTGGTGTAACTGTGTATATACTGCCAGAGTTATTGCTTTGTCTGCTGCTCGAGTGAAGAGAGGAAAAATTGACAATGAATAACCTCTGTGATATTACTTTGTTTTCAAATGGATAATGGCATGCATTTAAGAGAAATATTGGAAGCCCATGCTTCTCCCTCTCTCTTTCACTGGAACGGATTGAGGATGAACATTCCATTTTAAAAGCTTATCGTTGATCGTAAAATTTGTTTTTGTTCTGCATTAGAATGAAAATGAGTTCCATTTTCATTTAAGAAAATGGAATTAAATTAAAATATTTGTTGTTGAATCAGAACCTGCACTTTTGGGTCTCCAAGGTGAATGCCAGAGGTTCACAAAACTGTCACAAAACTTTCTGAAGAAAAACTCAGTCAGCAACAGTTTAGAGCTTTTTCAAAAATGTTCTGATCACTCCTTTTCACCTGGAGTCTTTTGCTCAATACGTCTTTTGCTCAATACGTCTTTTGCTCACCCAAGTCCTTAGGGTGGGAGAAATCTTAGTCTTATTTTCATTGTAGTTATGGCTATCGATGGATTAATCATGGATGGTCTGTGAGTCATCAATGTGCCATAGACACAAAAGAGGCATATGTAGGCTCATAATGTATCAAATACGGTATTTTCAACAGATACAGGGATTTAATGAGACCTTATCTAGAATTTTGGTTATCCATGTTTGAGAAAGATGACTTAAAAGTGGACAGAGTATAGAGGATGTCACCCTAAGATCATCAGGGGGCTGCATAGCCTACCTTACAAGAGAGGATTTAGGACTCCTCTATCCAATGAAGGTGGATAGCAGGGCTGCTGTCTATAAATGCATCAGAAGGTACACATCAGGGTGAGGAAAAACTGTTTAAGTGAAAAAGCAATGTTAGCATAAGAACAAATGTGCATTCATTTGACATGAATAAAGTAAAAGAAGGTTTCCAACCATGAGAAGAGCAAAATTCTGGGACCATGTTCCAATAGGAGCAGTGTGGTAAAATCCCAATTCATTTTAAGATGGAGCTTTATTATTTTATAGTAAGTGTTATATGATGGATTTGCCTACAATAGCTGGTTATTTTAGTTTCTATGAGTACTGGCTATTTATGAATGTCAACTCCAGGCACAGCTCTATATTTATGTGCCTAAATATTACGTTGGGGATCTAAACTTGGACATTATTTTAACCACTCTGTACCTAGCAACTATCCTTTATAAAATGGCATACTTTTATTGTAACTGGGGGCTTTTTTGGGGCTGGTCTGTCATTGGCCAACCCACCTGTTTCTGGGTCAACTGCCCGCCTCCTCGTCTGCCATGCCTTGATGACACATAATTATGGTGTTAATTAGGCGGGAGGCTTTCCAGTCTCACCCCAAAGCCAGGGGGTGCTATCTGCAGCTCTGTTCCTCCCCTACACCACAGCCCAAGCCTCACAGATGGCATCCAGGTTAATATTACTCCTGGCCTGAAAATGGAGCAAACTGAGTCCAAAGTTGGGCTCTATCTACATGCACATTCATACCACCTCCCATCTCACAGGAGGCCTCTTCCACCTCCCCCTCTTTTACCAGGGCCTCTGGCATACTGCCCATTACCAGGCCACACACCACCACCCTGCTTCTCTTTGAGCCACCCCTCTGGGCCATCAGGCTTCACTACTCACATATTGGCCTTGCTATGCAGTCCCTTCAGTTCCCATGAGTTCCCCTACCCTGTGTGGTCCAGCCTTGTACCAAATCCTGGGCTAATTCCACCCCATGCCCCTCAACGGGCAAACACACACACACACACACACACACACACACACACACACACACACACACACAGGGCTCCTAGCTCTCTGGTTTCCCCCTCACTGGGGCTCCTCTTCTCCGCACCCTCACTGGGGCCATGGGGCTTCTCTCCCTGGCAGGGGCTCAGGTGGCCGTAGCCATGCCTGGCCCCATCTGTGTCTTACACCCTCCTTGGGCTCAGGTGGCCTGCCCCGTTTGTACCCACAGTGTTGTGGGGACTACTGGTTAAGGCACCCTGACACACCTTTCACAAGGGTGGTAACTGGCCTGGCATTTCCTGGGGGCTCCTGCACCACTGGGAGCCCCACCAGGCCACCCACTCTCAGCAGAGTACAGTTTTAGGTCATGCCCAGGACCAGGAGCCTCCAAACAATCCCCTTAATTTCCTGCCTTTACCTCCAAAGATGTTGCATTCAGCCTTGCAGCCAAGTGATGTTTCTGCCTGACCTGCCAGTAGCAAACTGCTCTGTTTATATAGGCAGCCAGAGATCTAAATGGCTGCTGCAATCAAGCACCTGCTGGCTGCTTGTCTCAGCCCTTAAAGTGGCAGACACCAAGAGTGCCCTGCCACATGTATTACTATTTCAGATGAGTCTAATGAATTTAACTCAGGAGTAGGTAACCTATGGCCTCTGGGCTGAATCTTGCCCACAAAGGGATTGGATCCAGCCCATGAAGGTCCATTCCTATCTGCATTTTACTAAGGGTGTGCCAATTCTTCATTCTTGTTCTGGTCTGCATTTTGCTAATGGCATGCTGATCATCTCTGGCTGCTCCAGCCAACTGCTACACTGTCCCTGGAATGGTGAATGGGAAAGGTGGCCTGTGGCACCAACTGGGTTGCAAATTGCAGCCAATTCTTGTAAAAGGCTGCTGTTCTCTGATTTAACACATATATGGCTCGCTTAAACTAGAGTCTTGTAGTGCACTATTTGCTATATAAATATCATCACCATTAGAAGTGCTTTTTTGTTATCAATTTTTTTTGGTTGAGGATATATAGCTTATTTTTTGAATCAGCTGCGGTTGTGCAACACAGTGAAATCCAACTTCTCAACTCTAAAAGAACTGATTCTGCACTGCAAAGTTATCAACTAGTTGATCCTGATTTACAAAGTCATATCATTATTCCCCTTGGGAAAGAGAAATGCATGAGATTCAAAGTACTACACAGGAACCCAGATGGGAGCCCAGAAAGGGTGGCTGTACCTTAAGGAAATGATCCTTCGGGCACAGAGGGAGACAATTCTGATGCGAGGAAAAAGAGGGAAAGGGGCCAGGAGGCTTCCTTGGCTGACCAGAGAAATCCAGGGCAGCCTGCGGACTAAAAGGGGAGCATATAAAAAGTGGAAACGGGGAGAGATTACCAAAGAGGAGTATATCTCCTCTGCTCGCACTTGTAGGGAGGCAGTTACATGGGCCAAAGCTACCATGGAGCTGAGGATGGTATCCCAAGTAAAGGATAACAAAAAATTGTTTTTTAGCTATATAGGGAGTAAAAGGAAGGCCCAGGGTGGAATAGGACCCCTACTAAATGGGCAGAAGCAATTGGTGACGGACAGGGGGGACAAGGCTGAACTCCTCAACGAGTTCTTTGTCTCAGTGTTCCTAAGCGAGGGGCAGGACAAGGCTCTCACTGGGATTGTAGAGAGGCAGCAGCAAGGCACCAGACTGCCATGTGTAGACCCTGAGATGGTGCAGAGTCACTTGGAGGAACTGGATGCGTTTAAGTCGGCAGGCCCGGATGAGCTCCATCCGAGAGTACTGAAGGCACTGGCTGACGTCATTGCCCAGCCACTGGCAGTAATATTTGAACACTCGTGGCGCACGGGCCAGGTCCCAGAGGACTGATAAAGGGCCAATGTGGTCCCCATTTTCAAGAAGGGGAGGAAGGAGGACCGGCCTGTCAGTCTCACCTCCATCCTAGGCAGTCTTCGAAAAAATTATCAAGGCTCACATTTGCGACAGCCCAGCAGGACAAATTATGCTGAGGGGAAGCCAGCACGGGTTTGTAGCAGGCAGATCATGCCGGACTAATCTGGTCTCTTTTTATGACCAGGTTACAAAACACCTGGACGCAGGAGTAGGGGTTGATGTCATATACTTAGACTTCAGGAAGGCCTTCGATACGGTATCCCACAC